AAAATTTTGAAAAATTCTTGTGAAATCAGCAACATCCATTGCTGTCTTGACCTAATGGTGACGTCTGTCACCCCAAACCGATCTGTGATTGGTCGAGCGATTGACCAACATTGTCAGTTTTACATAGTGATGCCCGGCGCCTCGCAATCGGGTCCAACACTGAATAATTCGCCTACCAAGTTGAAGGAGCTCCAGATTGATCTCGAAGTTAGAATGCCGAACATCAAAGTGTTTTCGGGCACTAGCCATCCAGATCTGGCGCAGGGGATCGTCGATCGACTGGGCATAGATGTTGGAAAAGTCGTCACGAAGAAATTCTCCAATCTGGAGACCTGGTAAGTAAGTTTTCCTGTGTTCGTTCCCCTCAATGAAACCACGTTGTCGCAACAATCAACGTTAATCTGAATTACATTCGGTAATTGAGTTGGCAAGTGATTGAGGTTAATGAGAGAGCAGGCCCTATGGGGCTGCTACTCAGTACCGGGAAAGTGTCAACATTTATCAAGAACATGCTGTTGTTTTGGAGGAACTTCGTACTTCAACACAGCGTTGCTACAACCGAAACTCTATCATCTGGGTAATTGAAATTGCCTTAATCCATCCAAACATTAAACAGGCTTAATTGATAAGAAAACAATTCACCTCAATCAAATTTTATTCGCATTCTTCAAGGATTTTTCTTTTTTAATCTCGTCAACAGAGGCACATCTGATTTATAACCTAGAATCATGCCCATTTAACCATTGTCCATTGAAGTAAATGATGAGGGTTTTGCGGATTTTGAAAAACACTGTTTTTTTTGTGACAACGTTTCTACCACATTTTTTAACCTAACTGAAAAATCTGCAGAAAATCAGTGTTTTTAATTCGCAAAAGGTCTCATGTGCCTACCTACTTATGTCTGTCAGAGCTTCGGTCTGGCAGTCTTTTTAATTTTCCCTTAAAGTACTAAAAATTTGTCAATGTTTTCTAGCACTGCAACTAGTTTATTTTAAGTGTCCTTAAAGGGAAAATTAAAAATAACGCGAAACTCCGACAAACATCAAGTCATGAGCACCGCTTAAACAAAGTTTTTGAATATCCATAGTGTGGAAATAGGGGAATCAGTGCGAGGCGAGGACGTCTACATAGTGCAATCGGGCTCCGGCGAAGTGAATGACAACCTTATGGAACTGCTCATCATGATCAACGCCTGCAAAATCGCCTCCGCTTGTAGAGTGACTGCTGTGATTCCCTGCTTTCCCTACGCCCGCCAAGACAAGAAAGACAAGGTAGACTCTCCCTCAAACTCCCTAGTCAATTTAGTTAACACATAAACTAGTGATGGTTTCCGCGCAAGGGGCTTATTTTACCTGTGTGAAAACGGCGGGCATCTGAGTCTAAGATTACCGAATTTTTTAGAATATGGAGACGGACAAGGAACGCCACATTGAAAAGTGGAAGTCAATCGAATGGAAATTTCGGGTAAAATACTTTTAAGTCAGGGACGATGAATGTTCAGAAAACGAGGGTTGCTTGGGGTTCATTTACAAGATGTGGTGTTGTCTTTGAATGTAATGTCTTCATTCCGTCTAATTCCAAATGTTTTGCTTCATTCTGATTGTTCTAATGGCTTGTTTTTGTCCTGATGCGGTTCCAACGTGTTGATTTCTCTTCTATCGCGTGCGTTTTTATTTCTGGCTGTCGCAACTTCGACCTCTGCTTGGTCCAGTTATCAAGACCCCCTTGAGTAATGTTTTCGCTATTTCTCATACACCAAAACATATTTGTTTGTGCAACAAGCCGATCAATCGATTTATTGTTATTTCTAAATTCAACTCCCATTTTGACCATTGTTTATTCACTAATTAACATGATCAATATTTGAAGAGCAATTGCGGCCTCATGGGTTTGTCTCAGATGATGATAATATAATGTGAATCTCTGGCTTATATTGCATGAAACGAAAGCCATCGGGGCACATGCTCTACTAACAGCAGGGATTTCAGGCTTGATGAATCCAGCCCCAAGTGTGCTCTTTTATGACTCAGAGCTTTGCATGCTTTTCGTGTACACTTATGAAATTGGGGTTTTTTGCAACCGTATCGGGAACACTTGATAATGATCGATTTGCTTTATAGAGCCGAGCCCCGATTTCCGCCAAACTGGTCGCAAATATGCTTTCGGTAGCAGGCGCCGATCACATAATCACCATGGATTTGCACGCCTCCCAAATTCAGGGCTTCTTCGACATTCCTGTTGATAATCTGTAAGTCCCCAGCAAAAATTCTGCCGTTGCAAACACACGTGAATCTGATGGTTTTTCAGCTACGCTGAACCAGCAGTGCTGAAGTGGATCAAGGAAAACATCGTCGAATGGAGGAATAGCATTATAGTGTCTCCAGATGCTGGCGGTGCCAAGAGGGTGACTTCCATCGCCGACAGGCTCAATGTTGAGTTTGCCCTCATTCACAAAGAACGGTAAAGACTAGTTGAATGGTTTTGCCCGGTTTGGGGTGAATTTGGTGCTGGTTTCCAGAAAGAAAGCCAACGAGGTGGCCAGCATGGTCCTGGTAGGAGATGTGAAAGATCGCGTGGCGATTTTGGTGGACGACATGGCAGATACTTGCGGAACGATCTGCCATGCTGCCGAAAAGCTGATGGAAGCCGGCGCAACTAAAGTTTATGCCATTTTAACCCACGGGATTTTCTCCGGACCGGCCATCAGTCGGATAAATAATGCGTGTTTTGAGGCCGTAGTGGTGACCAACACCATTCCCCAGGATCAGCACATGCAACAGTGCAACAAAGTGCAGGTAAGTGAGTCGGGGTTTTCTTGAAATGTGCTTAGTTTTTTTTGTTTTTGTCAGTGCATCGACGTTTCTATGATGTTCGCTGAGGCCGTAAGACGAACACACAACGGGGAAAGTGTATCATATTTGTTCTCGAATGTCCCTTATTAAACCCCTCTGATTCCACACTTTAATTGTTAAGAATTACATACCATACTATACTACAATTGAAAACAACTGTGCTGAGAAATCGCCTTTAATTAATTGAACTTCGAGGGGCACAGTTTTAGGATAATGCAATTAAGATACATTTTTTAGTAGGTGTTTTTTTATTGGTCCTGCTAGCTCTTCAGGACCTTTCCCCTTAGTATTTTGACCTCGTCCACCGGCCGATCATTCCTATCAGTCTCAACAAACCCAATCCTTTTAATCACCTGCATACCCGCGTGTATCCGTCCGAAAATCGCGTGTTTTCCGTCCAGCCACTGAGTGGGCCCCAATGTGATAAAGAACTGACTGCCATTGGAGTCGGGACCCGAATTGGCCATCGACAGCACTCCGGCCCCACTGTGCTTCAACTCCGGATGGATTTCGTCTTTGAACGACGGCCCGTAGATCGACATGCCCCCTTTTCCTGTGCCTGCATCCCAAAAAAACCCGTTGTAGGGCAGTAGAGTAATATACAACAAATAATACCGGTTGGGTCGCCCCCCTGGATCATAAAGTCGCTGATGATTCGGTGGAAAATCGTGTTGTTGTAGTAGCCCCTGCGGGCAAGTTCCGCAAAGTTTCGGCAGGTTTGCGGTGCATGTTTCCAGTAGAGCTCGATCACAAACTCGCCCATTCTGGGGAAGGGTGCTGTTAGTATGTTGGGCCAGGTTGGAACGCATTTCAGGTGCCCCTTTAAACTTACGTGGTCTCGAACTGGACAAAAGGGGGCTGCCACATTTTGTCCGGAATCCCGGACTGGTTCATCGTTTGTGTCGCCAACATTTTCCTTGTGTGATTTAGTGAATAACTAGCTAAATTTCACAATTTCAAGAGCGGGATGTTATGGTTATGCAGATGTAAACTATAAAAAGTTGGGTTAGTGCCGCAAATGTCAGTTTTACAAAATATCCCCCTCAAGGGGGATGATTAATGGCAGTTTTTGGTTAGTTGCTGAATCGATGCCTTTTGTGCGAAATTGGTTTTAATTAAATTTTTAAAGCTCTGGAAAATATGTATTTGCTTCTCTATGTATTACTTTCACGGTAGTTTCGTTGAAACGCTGTGCTGTGAAAATGCGCCGAGAGAGTTACGGGAAATATCGGAAAGCGCGCAATGTTGCTCAGCCACATGGCCAGCAAAATTTGTTTTTGTTTGAAAATCAACAGGTTTTTTTACTAAAAATAAGCCAACGACAAAAGTACACTTAATGAGTTTCTTATGCCTACCTACTAAATTTTTTATAAATAATTAAAATTGCCATCTTGATCAGGAATAAAACCGATTACCAGTTATTTGTCTTTATCTATGGTTATCAGTTGACCATCATTATCAGAGAGTTAAGTATCTATAATGAGTCTACATTATTATGAGTTCGGATTAGTTTTATTAAGTTTACTCCGCGTCCAAAAATGGAAAATATAGTGCAAGTGCATCCTCTAACCAATAATCCAACGCTTTTGTGGAATCACATCAGGCGGTTGCAATTCTTTACTGATATTTACGTGCCCCAACACCTGTGGCATGTTCTGCAGGCTCCCCCTAGCAAAAATGTGCTGCGCTTTGTGTGCATGAGCGACACGCATTCCAAACATTTACAGTGTAATGTACCAGAAGGGGATGTTTTCATTCATGCCGGCGATTTTACCATGGAAGGAGAACGACACGAGGTTATTGCGTTCAATGACTGGCTAGGTATAGATATTTATACATTGTCATATCACCGTTAAAGTTGAACTTTCTAGGAACGTTGAAGCACAAGTACAAAATAGTGATAGCAGGAAACCACGAACAGTCGTTTGATCGCCGGTTTTCCACGGGAGAAGTAAACAATGCGCGGCAGGATTTAACAAATTGTAGTTACCTAGAGGACTCCGGTGTGACCATTTGCGGAGTTAAAATCTTCGGGAGCCCCTGGTGAGAGGGAATCCGCAACAACAGTCGAAACCAAACTAAGATCCTGCCGCTTCTAGGCAGCCAAACCATATAGGGCGCCGTGGCTTTAAGTTAATGCGGGGCAAACAGTGCCTGGATAAGTGGAACCTGATTCCGGCGGACACCGATGTGCTGATCACCCACGGGCCCCCTCTTGGACACGGCGACCTTACCAACTTCGGCCAACGAGCCGGATGTGTGGAGCTGCTGAGGACAGTCCAGGTCAGAGTACGACCCAAGTCCCACATTTTTGGACATATTCATGAAGGCAAGTGATTGAACGTGCAGTTTAAGCCAGTTTTTCCGATCGGCGCCCACACTTTCAGGTTATGGCGCCAGCTTCGACGGGCAAACGCTGTTTGTTAACGCATCCATATGTGACGGTAGCTATAGGCCTTCGAATCCGGCGTTTGTTTTTGATGCCCCCATTTCCCCAGGTTTTAAAAAATGAATATGAGTAATGTTTGTTTTACTGTTTCATGACGTGTTGGCGAATGCGCTTTCAAACACTCAAAAGAGGCGCATGCGCTTTCAACACTGTCGATGTTAATGTCCTGCGCCATTTGTTTACAGATTCGCTTTTGTTTTCCGCCATGTTAACTGTCAGGTCGCGCCCCGGGGTTGCAGATAATTTTCCGAAAAATCCTTTCGGGAAAAGTGTAGTTAAGTGAAAATCAGCTACTTGGGGTGGTTTTCCATCATTCCATCTAGGTCCCGGTGCTTTTGTAGAGACCGCCCATTCATCCGAAGCAGTGGGAATTGTTGGAGTGCGGAGCTTCATCGCGTTCGCCGCAGAGGGCAGGCGAAGCGCCGTTTTGGGCTCTGGATCCCATCCAAGAGGCTTGTGGAAAATAAACCATCCACATTTTTAATGCGAAATAGAGAAATAAATAAGCCGAACCAGCCGATGAAGCATGATGTATGCGGCTGGCCTCAAGCAGTTGCCTCTTTGTGTGGAAGATCATGCGCCTTGGCGGAAGCTCCGCTTTGAAATCCATCGCTAATGTCAGTTTGGAACAATGTCTGATTGATATGGACGATTCGTCGGGAGTTTTACTGGTTTCGTTGAGTTTTTAGTAGTTTTAAGACTAGTTTTAAATGAAAACACGTCTAAAATGGTGACAATAAACCTCTAGTGTAAGTGCCGAGTGGATTAATCAAACAGCCCGCTGCCGATTTTAAAGGTAAGTGTCAACTTTTTTGTTTTTCGGAAACGAATTTCGGGGCCTGCATTGTCAGATTTTAATGAGACTCTCCTGCTACTTCAATGGTGAATTGGAGAGTTGCTGTTGGCACATCGGGGCCCCCCACATCGTCACAGCTTTGGATTGATTTCTGGAATATTATCGATTTTTTATTTATGGCACTTGCAACAACAAATCAGTGCAGCTCGAAGTTGCAGTCCTTAGTTGGACGCTAAAATCCTGGCCAGAACTTTTCATTGGTTATGTGCCGGACTTGGGGTTAATGTGCGCTTTATCAACAACAAGAAGTCCTTTTACTATTCCAACATTTGTACTCCGTGTGGAAAATGACCAACACTCACTAATCTAAAAGCCTTCTGGTTGCATAAACCATCAGCCCAGGTTCTATAGTTTCTAGCAAACAGTTCTTTGCAATTCTGTGTTCATCTGTTGTAAATTATTTATTAGATGGCATGAAGACATAGTACGAAAATAGCCTGTATACAACGCAACAGCTTCGCGTGGTATTGCTTTATTAACAGCATAATTTTGCCTTTTCTTTCGGGTTTTCCTTATTAAGTCCCAGTGGGTCCTATCAGTGAGCAATCATCAACACCACACTCATTTTGTGCGTTGTATTAATAGCTCAAATGTCCAGTTTTTCCTTTTAATTAGAAGCGTCAGCTTCTAGCAACACCTGCTTGCGACATTGATCCAGTTAATTTCCTCTACACAGAGTTGTGCCGCCATCATTGCGATAGTTTCCAGATAAAATTAAAATTCCCACTGGCCGATGACAAGCCGGCAGACAATCCAGGAAATGAGCAAACTTTATGGGCTTTGTTTACGTTCGTTCGGGAAACGTGTCGATTCGACGATAAAATCCCGGATGAAAATCCTTTTTTAGCAGTGCAGGTTTTCAGGTCGTTTCGATTTAATTAATATGCCCAAACAGGCCTGCGGACCGTCTGTGGTCTTAAAATTCCGCCACTGTTCCACAAGGACAAAAACTGTAACTAGTCGGTTCATTTCTATTCAATGAGCGTGTCCAGGGTGTGACGGCGTGTGCCTTCTAAGTGCCCCCATGGACATTCAGTATTATTAATAAACTGTCGTTTGTTCAAGTAGAAAATAGAAAAAAACACACACAGTCTTCTCCACAATCAATTTATTACAAAGCTGTGGAAAACCCAAAGGGTGTTTTGGGTTTTCCAAACTTTCAAGTTTCTTTTGGGTCTGGTTTAGCACTGTCGATTTTTTTTGGCTTCCTCCAGATTTTAGCACCATCCAATTTCTTTTATCAAAGCGCGCACTTATGTGGAAACGTTCATGTCTAGCGCAGCGTTTTCCCCATGGAAAAATAATTTCTTGGGATTACACGCAATTTAACTGGAAATTCTTGAGTGTTAAGACTTAACGGTTTACAATGGTTTCCAAGTTTCTATTGACTCTGTGCGCGGAGCAGTTTTTTTTTAAATAGAGCGCGAGTTTATGTTTCGTCCATCGTTTACCCAGCAGTAAAAATTTGGGATTTTGCACGATTTTCAGGTGTTTTGAATCCAAGCATCTGCGATATGTGGTGAAGTTTAGCTCAGCGTTTTTCCGACAGAAAATAACCGGGATTCCTGGCAATTTAATTGAAAATTAACAGCTTGTTTACAAGCGCAAATAGTTCGTTTGAGCCGAAGTGGGCACTCGTCTGCTTAGAGACAAAAAAACCCACGTTCTCCGGTTGGTTGTTTGTCTGCGAATGGAATGGGGAAAAGCCATTAGGCCCCCAAACCTGCCCTGAGCCATAACGCAGCGGGAGCACTAAAATTAATCATTTTTATCCATTGCACGGAAACTGTCGGAATTGTTCAACAATAGCCGGATTGGCGGGCCTCATTGTTTGCTGATGGACGAAGACAATCGGAAAGTGTTGCCACAATCTTCGATTTTCTATTCAAAGGTGTTGAGCAATGGCAGATAGTGAAAATGCGAGCTTGTCACATGCCTGAACAATTCGAGATTGAGTTTTTCCATGGCGCCGCCTCTGGACGACTTTCCACTGCCATGACGTCACGTGGAAGCCGCTGAGAGGGTAAATCGCTCTATTCTGGGTTAGTTTCAGTTGAAGAGTGCTCGTGGCGATTTTCCGTGAAAATCCAGGCATTTGTCGCGTTTTGTGCGGTTGCCGCAATCAATTTGATCGGGATTTTGTCGCTCACCATTTCTGACGACTTTTTCTATCGCAAGTGCTTTGAAAACATTCTCACCAAAACGGTTTGCTAAGATTGAAAAATCTCTGAATCCGTAATTCGCAGAATCCACTTCGGCTTAGCGAAGCCAGAAAAGAAGATTGCCTAGATTCGCAGAAGAATTCAGCAATAAATTAATGCAAATCGCGGCTTTCTCACGATTGTTTGCGGAACAATACCCGAAAACGCGAGGATGACACGTTAACCGTTTGAAAAGGAAAATGAAAGTAGTCGTCACATCCAGTGATGCCAAAATAAACACATTTTCAGGCCCAGAACCATATGGCTAGCATAACAAGCATTTTTATGGGAATGTTTTGGAGCGACCATTCAAGTGAATTTTCTTTGGGAACTCTCGCTGCAACTGCTGAGCGATCCTTCGGACTCAAACTATCTAAAAATACCCATTGGCTGAGATCAATACGGGGTTAAATCGTCGCTGATAACGGACGTTCCAAAGGGAACGGACGGTATCGTCACCTCGGTTTGCAATGGATACTGTTCCAGATGGGTCGCCCGGTTCATCCAGAAGTTCCCATCTGGGCACTCCAAAACGCCGGCCGCACAGCTGGCACTCTACCGGCTTCAGGCACAAGAAACGAAAGTCTTTGGGTGAGATTCCAAAGACTTTCCAGGTTCAATTGGGGCAATAAAAACTCTGGTTCAGTCAATTGACTATTTATAGCATAGAAAAGTATAACTGAAGTCAGTACTTAATTAAGATTTAAAAGTACAGGCGTATGCTATCATTCTTATTAGTCTGCAAGTCGCATTGCTTAAACAGTGTCTCCTTTCAGCCCATTCCAGTATGGATGGCCAGCGAGCTTTGGACTTGATGCCCCTGCTTCAGGAGCGACTGGTGGTGCTGACAGGGGGCCGAGATCGGCGGGGGGGCCCAGTGCTCTCCTTCCCAGCCAATCCCCGAAGAGAACGCGCTAAGCCGGAGGACTACAAAAGACTGTTGCAGTATCTGATGTCCATTCCCAAGTAAGTAATCGAGTTTGCAAGCAAATAGTCGGATTTCATCTAGTCCGGACAAATCAGGGCTCCGCCCATTGAATTGCAAATTTCACTGCCATCCAGGGCGACTTTGTGTCGGAAACATGGCCCGTCGGATTAAGATAGCGGGCGTACATCGTTTTAGAGCTCGATTCGATTACGGGTTTGTTTGCCAGAGGGTGGAAACTTTCCAGCAGATATACATGGTGGATATTTTTAGGATGGGTCTGTTTTCGTTCGAACGTTTTGCTGGAACGCATGGCTGCCATCTTCAGAGGTATATTTGTCTCCGTAGCAGCGAAACGTTGGGACCAAAAAAGAAATAAATTGTACGAAAAGGCGGATTTGCTTTTCCGAAGACCACAAAAGGTCGATCCCAATTTCTTTCCCTATTGAAAGTTTTCCGATAGATTCTCATTCCGAAATTCCGAAAGATTCTTCGGAATATGCGTAGATAAAGAGGCTGGCTGTACATGGCTTGGCGCCTTATTATTATTACGAGCTTGGCACTATTCCAAAGACAGTCTTCGGACGTAATTCAACGAGACGCTGTTCTTGATGGCGTCTGCGAAGGAAAGCGTGAGAGATTTGCGATTGTCCTGCTGCATTGGTGCCAGGAATTAGCCAATTTTCCCATTCGGCTCTATCATTTGAAACCTTTGTATGCCAAACATCTTCGATTAAAAGGCTGTCGGCCACCTTCGTCGGATTGTAATAAATTATCTCAATTAGCGGGCGTTTACAAAAATAGCGCGTTGTGTAACAGTACTTGTGCATTTTCGGGTTATTCTAAACACTTTTACAGTACATTTAACTGGACCTCGCCTTCAATGGGTTTCTTGCAACGATTCGAGTAAATCATTCGGCTGGTCTCAATGTGGTCAACCGAATCATATTTGCTTGATTGATTCTGTTTGCTTTGCGTACAAGAACCATCGACCATTGCCAACTTTTGCAAGCACCATTGAAACTTAACAGCCAGGCAGGCAAGCGGTTTATATGGGCTTAATGGCTTCTTGGAAACGCGAGAATTCCAGGCTGAATTAATTGGCAATTAGTAGGGAAATGTGGAAAAATTAATTACGGTTAATGGCCGCCGACCTATAGGGAAAATCCAGGAAAATTACCTGCCTGGATGGAGGTCCAGTCGTAATTCTTTTGAGTGGGCATGTTGCAGACAAGCATGCTGATGCAAAGGAATGCCAGATGGGTCACACACCATTGAACCACGACCATGAATTATCCTGCTGAGCAATGTCCGAATAACGTGTAAACTAGCGCATTCACGTTTTCGGAGTATTTGCGGCCATAATTTACAGCTACTTGGCGTTCAAGTTGCACTGTAATTGGCCTCGCTGGAATGCCGCGAACAATTTGTCTTTTTATTGATGCTGCTGTCGCGTTGCAATTTATTTCTAACGAAATTTGTGTTGTTCCAGCGATGAGGCGCGCAATTTGGGGTTCACTGTACTGGTGGACATGCGAGGAGCCACCTGGTCGACGGTCAAGCCCATCCTCAAAGCCCTACACGAGCACTTTCCCCAAGGGGCCGTCCATCAGGCGCTCATAGTCAAGCCGGACAACTTTTGGCAGAAGCAGCGCACCTCCTTAGGATCACATAAGTACAAATTTGAGGTGAGCCCACCCGTCGATTTGCCTCGTTTATTCTCCCGCCCGTTGAAAATCCGTGAACAAGTCATTGACTTGAAAATATGTATATTAAACATTAATTGCGCAAACATGTCGGTTACGGCTCATTTGCTAATGAACGAGCTGTTAATTAAAAGAAACATCGGCCTGATAAACGGCCTTTGTTGTTTGTGTTGCTCGAAGGCGCACGATTTTCAATTGAATTCAAACAATTGATTGTTCTCTTCCAGACAAATATGATAAGTATAGAAGCCCTACCAAAAATTATTGATACCACGCAGCTCACGGCCGATCTAGAAGGCGCTCTTTCATACGATCACGCCAATTGGTTGGATACGAGGTAATGACAAATGGCTCCATCCCATGTTCCTGCCACTGAAAACATTTGGCTCTAGGTTAGCGACTGAGGAGTTTTCCTGGCAGGCTGCCGATCTTCTAGATCGGCTTGACGATTTGCAGGAAGATCTAGCGCGCAATGACTTTGCGGACGACGTCAGCGGGGCCAAACACAAGATCGACCTGCACAACGAAATGAAGAAGAAAATCATGAAGGCGCCGGTGGAGGACATTGATGTCCTAGGTAGGCCTGGAACGCATTCCATCATTTCCATACTTATAAGCAAGGCCCTTGACGAAAAGGCGAAGGCGCCAATAATTCCGTTTGATGAGACATTTTTTTGTTGCAGGACAACGCTTGCTACAAAGCATATGCGGCATTCACGACACCGGTCAGGGCCATGATAAGGGCGGAGGCGGCGGCGGTGGAAACAGCCCGGACACCCTCAGTCCCGATCTGCATGACATCAAAAGTCTGGTGCTGCAAAACCTGAAAGCTGTGCACAGCGCCCAGCAGCACCTGCTACAACTGTGGCACCACAAGAAGCTGAAGCTGGATCAGTGCTTTCAGCTGCGCCTGTTTGAGCAGGATTGTGAAAAGGTGTGTGGCTAGTTTGGCGGCTTTTTAGTTGATTTCTATTTTCTATCCGCTAATTTTTCCAGATGTTTGATTGGATTTGCCATAATCGTGATGTTTTCCTGCTGAACTACGTGGAGATCGGGCACACGTACCAGCTGGCCAAGCAGCTGCAGGAGGATCATCAGCACTTTACCATGTCGTCGATGAACGTGTATGTGAATATCAATCGGATTTTGAGTGTGGCCAGCCGGCTCATTGAGGGCGGCCACTATGCCGCCCCCCATATTAGGTCGGTGGCTGGGCGACTGGACCGCACTTGGAAGGATTTTGCTGCTGGGTTAGTTGAGCGTTGAATTGTAATTCCAGTAGGATTTATGAGCTGTGTGTTAATTTCCAGACTGGACGAGCGCACTGCTGTGTTGGCCCTTTCGGTGATTTTCCATCACAAGGCTGAGCAATACGTCGAGAATGTGCCGACCTGGAAAAACGCCAGTGAAACCATCAACTTGCCCACTGAAATCATGCTGCTGGAAAACGCCATCCATCAGCACCAGAATCTCTACGAATCCATGTGCCAGGCGTACACCGAGGTAGGCACTAGCTGTTTACTTCCAGAGCGCCGTTCGCCCCCCAAATCCTTACCATTAGCTTGTGCCTTTAGGTCTACAATTCCTACCAGGCGCTCCTCAATGGGCTGGACGTGATGCTGCAAGTGTGCCACAAGTTGCCCAGTGCGGCCGAAGCCGACAGTGTGGATAAAATTGTCAATGTATGCTCAATGATTTTAGGCCTGGATTTGGGAGCTGGCTAATTATTTCCTAGACTTAATAAGCACATTAATACATTTCGGTGGTGGTAATTGAAGTATTTCTCTTTGGTGACAGGTCCATAGTACTAGCAAGAAACTACTCTACCAATTAGATCATTTGGTGCAAGTTTGTAATCAGCCTGGGACTGAGAAAAAGCATGTAAATATTGGTTTTACCTACTACATTTTAGTCAAAGCTTTGCACGATTGGAACTCCTCCACCTTAAGTGGCTGAGCTGAATCCCTCGCTGGAAAGCTGCACAACTGATTTGAAATTTTCATCGATCTTGCAGCTTTCTAGAAAGGTTTGAGTTCATTCAAAATATCTGGGGCTAAATGATTTTGTGTCAATAGGACGACGGGACTGTGTACGAAAACCGGCCTGGAGGAAATCCGGCAGCGGATTACAGCGAAGGCGCCAGCCACGTGTTGGCGGTCATTCATCAGATCCTCAACCATCACAGAGCGTTGGAGCAAAAATGGCACGCCAAGAAGATCAAGCTGCATCAACGGCTGGCGCTGCGGCTTTTCCAGGAGGACGTCAAGCAGGTACGTTCCAGCAAATCGCGTTTTGTTTGCAAAACTATAGGAATATTTTTTTGCAGGTTTTGGATTGGCTGTCCAATCACGGCGAAGTGTTCATCAGGAAAAACACCGGCATTGGCAGAAACCTGCAGAAGGCGCGCGTCTACCAAAAGAGCCACGAACATTTCGAGAACGTAGCTCAGGTGAGTTACATGCATTTTTTGGGCCATCTTGGTCGGTTTGAGGAGATTATTTGCTGTTCTGACGAATCCCAGAACATCCATAATGCAAGGGAATGTCGAAGGAAAACGGGGCGTAGGAAGAAGGGAAAATAGGTGGTTGAAAAACCTGAAAGTGTGGCTTAATTGGCTCACTTGAAAGCGGAAAAAGGCGTCCACTAAATCGGAAATTAAAAATCTCTATCTCGATCCGGAGAGGTCACCTGTATCTGATGGCTCTATCATAGCGGATGATAGATAAATATCGGTTTTTAATCAAGGGATGTAAAAAGAACCGAAGCGACCAGGCCCAATCCAACCATTCAGAAATTCAATTATTATATTGAAACGAAGCAATTTCGACTTATAAATATGGAAATGCGCCACCCTAATTCCCGATAGGAATCTTACGCGGCCGAAAAATATTCAGTTTCAGAATTAGGCCCTTTCACAGCATAATCTCCCTAATTTCGATTGAATGAAGGTCTTAAATATTTTAGTTGGGTGTTTCATGTTGGAAAATGAGATTTTTTCATTTGAAAATCGGTCAGGCGAACAGCGGAAGCTCTTAACGGGATGTTTGCCGTGTCACTAAACCTTCAAGTTGAAACACAACCTTCGTAAAGAAATGGTTTTTTTGCCTGTTGAGGCTTTCGAATCAATAGGCTTGAGGGCAGGGAAAATGAGCGCTTTTTCTCATTAGCTTTTGTTGCTTTTGCGCTGAGAAATGGCCCTGGCCCCGCTAAACCCTTTAAGGGCTGGGGTATCTCAGCAGCAAATACAAGCCACCTGCAGGCTGGTATTTTTGTTCTAATTGATGGGCATTTTGACGATTCTCCGTCGAATTTCGAGCTGTTTCTCGTCGCCGCCCGCTTCCTTAATTCCTGCAAACGGGCTTAAAGGGAAGCAACAGGAGCCCAGCTGCCTGCTGGGCCTTGTTCCTGACGTCCCGCCGTTGCCATTTACTTTAATCTAATCGGTCCGTTGAAGACTCCTTTACCAGGCGTGCTTGGAACGGGCTTTCGGAATGTTGAATATTCTGCCCTAACTATTCCTGGTCAGTTTTCTGACTCTGTCTGTCTGGAGTAATGATGTGATTTAATGTGCAGTTTAGACGTGCCGAGTTTCGGTTCCAGTTTCTGCAGCTTTGGGGCACGTATCGAACGGCCCTCGTAAGCTCAGCAGGAGTACCAGGCGCACGCGAAGCAAACAGGGCTCTCGCTCGCTAGTTTTTCACAACCGCCAAAGACGAAGAGATTCTTCAGTATCTCGATACGCGGTTTTGAGTTTAGTCGTCGGCGTCGGGACGCGCACAAGTTTTTACCGGCTTTTCACACTGAGTTTTGTTCGCAAAAACTTCAAAATGGTTCAGTGCACAGTTTCAACGAGTTTGGGTTTTGACTGGTTTTTGTCGACGAAATAGGTAATTGGATGGTTAATTAATTCTTGTTTTTTTTTGGTTTGCGGTGGTTATAGAAACAGTAATAGTAAATTTTTGAGGACTTTCGCGGCCATCGTTTGACCAATCGGCAATTTTCGGGTTTTCAGGCCGTACTTGATGTGAATTTGTTACTGTGTTTCTCTAGCACCCATCGCCTGCATCTTCAGGGCGACACAAATCTGAAGATGCCTGCAAGACGTCAGTTTAACGATGCCCTCAAATCACCGATTGCATCAATAGTTGTCAATGTGACGGTTGATCTATAGACGGTTGCGATTTGTTTTGCCTTCAATGAGTGCGCCTTCCGGCCTAAACTGTTTATTCAATTCTACGATTGTGCATAAAGTCGCGCCAGTTGGGATTGGAAATGGAGATCAAAATGTTTCCAACCCCCCGTATTTAAAAATACACAGTTCTGTGTACTTTCGTTGGAGGTTTATTTAGGTTTTCACCGCCGAAAGCTGAATATTTTCGTTTATTGAATTTTTTTCTTCCTGGCTTTGCTCTGCATTTTTTTTAATCGGAAAAAGCGAAATTAGGCCATGACATCCTTGTTTCGTTGATGATTGATTAGGCATATTCGTAAAAACTTATCAGTTTTAATGATCATCCGTCACTGTGATTAGTCTTCTGCATTGATTTCTAGAGCAGAAAAACAACAATTTGCGTTCGGGCTTCGATTTATTGTGCTCGCGCTTCTATGATGGGTTCAAGTCGATTAATCGGTATGCCGGTGCTAATTATTAAGCGAGGCACTTTCTCCCGGGAAAAGCTGCCAAAAGGCCGCGTGGGCTAAGATGGGGGCCCCCCACATGCATATCCATTTCCTATAGTGATGTAAACCACGACTAGAGCAAGTTTTTCGTTTAATCTTAACCAGACTTGGCCGAAGTGTATGGCTTTTGAAATGAGTAAACCTGCGACAGCACGCAAATTGACGCTTTTGGGCATTGAAAAATGGTCGTCGTTGTTATACCCAAGCACGAACCTCTCATAGTTTAATAACCCACGAAGATTAATTGCCCTTTTTATGTGACAGGTCATATATAAATTCAATACAGCATTTTATTAAATCAGCATCCCCCTTTGAATGGCTATTAAAGTCGGAGCTTAAAAAGCCATTAAATGTCCGAAGCAATTAAAGTCGTCACTGTAAACAAGTGGTTTAGGGACGAAAAACCCTTCTATTTCATATGTAAAAGTTCATTATGTGCTTCTTATCCTATGGAGCCGAATTTTATCACTTGTACTGTTACTATTACAACCTAGATAACCATAATGGGCGGGCAGGTCCATTCACACCATTTTTGCATATTAATTTATCAACTGCATGCCGAGCAATCGTTCAGTGTTTACGGCCTGTGCGCCTCCTTTCTGTATAATTTTTCATTTCACAATTTCAATTGCGAGAGTAACTACTCGGGGAAAATTGCAGAAACATTGATTAAACGCAACCGGCCGGCAATCAAACGACAATTATTGGTAAAATTGTGACAGAACCGGTTGATTTGATGAAAATCGCAAACGGCCGCTGAAGTTTCTAAATATAGTACCAATTAAGCAATCCGCTGGTACTGGTTTTCGGAATAATTAGATACGGGGAATCTTAATGTGTACGTGTTGCTAATGCGGGTTCCCGGACTACAACAAGACTCTGTTTTTCAACCGCTTAATTTCCAGAACGGATTTTCGATCGTAAATGTCATCCAGTGCCGTTTTGGGGTTTGATGCATTTGAAATAATATACACACATTCAACCAGTTTGATTGTTTACGTTCGGGTGGCAGCACAATGGGGCCCTTTACAACATTCTTCACCGCACTAAAAGGGCCTTTATGTAGAAGTGAACATATGTCGATCAGCTTTGATTTGGGGCCTAAATACACTTGTTGAAAACTCATTAACATTTGCCATCACAGCTATTTTACAACTTGTCTCGCTGTTTATTTACTTTGGCCACCTTGACACACTATTCTTAATTGCAATTGATAATTAGTGTATTTTACATGTGACAAGAGCTCTTCAGGCGTTCTGCGACGCGACCAAACGTTGATCAAGTCACAAACAAGTAGTGAATTTACGCTAATTAATTGTTGGTCGTTTGACATCCCAGCATGCAAAATAAACCGAAACGCACCATAGATTTGCTCTCGCAGTGACAGGCTTTTGTTATTATGGGCCGGGCCAATGACGTTTCCATAGCAACTAGTCGAGGTCAAAAACTGTCGAAAAAACATCGACGTTGCCGCGATATGCGGGTTTTCCTGAAGGTATTTTTACCGCTACCAATTTCCATTGCGAGGAAACATCTGGAAAAAACACGTGCAATTGAGGGCCCGTCCAATCAAAAACAGTTTAACGTCGAATGTTTGCTGAAAAGCCATTATTTCCGTCCGTTTTAATCGGGAAAATGTTCCCAGCAGATAATAACGGGTTGAAAACAGAGGAAAAAGTTTCCCTGGGGGAGTGCTGAACAGTTTTAGCTGACAGGCATGCTTATTGTTTTTTTCTGAAACTCTGAAGTTACGTATATACTTTTTTTAGCAACATTGGAGTTGTATTATAAGGCGCGTTTTGGCTAATTTTACTTGACAAGAGGCCGTTTTTTCGGGATTAATTCTTAGTGCCTTGGGCGACTTTCTGATGTACAAATTGAGCATTTTCCTGGTTAAGGCGGCAGCAGTTCATCTGCAAATTAACCGTGTAACTTCTCCCAATTGATGGCGCTTCAGACTTGGAAACTTAGTTAAATTAAATTTCCGTTCCCTTAGGAATAAATTCGTCAATATTGATTGGGCGGGTGCTGGGTGTACAGCTGAGCCCCGGCAAATTCCTTGTCATCTTTCAGGCAAATATTTTTTTAACATCAAAACGTCGTGTGATATTACTTATGTCCCCTGTCCGTCCCAACGGACAAGTGTCAAATAATTTGATAATAGTCCCTGTTCGCACATTGGGGTGATCATCAAATCAGCTCTATCAGCTTCAGTGCAGCCCCCAGCGAAAAAATGTTGAGGGTGAGTAATGCTGGCTAACAACCCTCGTCTGGAACAGCGTGCTTAAGATCCCCGAATCCCTGACTGTTCCATATGTAAAAGATCTATAATTCGCAATTAAAGGCCCCGAACTAGGGAATTTCGGCCGAAAGTCTAATCTAGCAGTTAGTAATGCAACGGAATCTACTGGCTGCAAGCAATTTCGGGTCTATTTAAGGCGTTTGTTAGCGTAACTTATCCTTCTAGGGCTGGTCGTCGTGCTGAAATGGCATAGGAAATAATTCCAGATGTTCCAAAAATGCCAGTTTACTGTCAAGGGAGAAAGTAGTAAATCCACCCTTGTGTTGTTCTATAATAGTTCTTGAAACGTGGCATTTTATTGACGGTAATGTCTGTCTAATGGTGCTCCACCCTTAAGGGCGCACGTCGCAAGAGATTAACGGCCCCATTGTTTACGTGTAATTTAATAAAGCAAATGTACCAATTGTTAGTATACAAAAACCCTCCAATTGCTAAGGATGTGTGGAGAAACCGCTGTCTAGTTTCGGTTTGCCTCCAATCGCAAATAGATTGAAATTGCGGACTAACGAACCCTGAATGGTTCTACGGTAATCTCCCCAACAACAGGTAAACGTAAACGCAATCAAGAAAATCGCCCCACACAAAACAAAGCTAATGAAGTAAATGCCTGAAAATTGACTTGATTTTATCTCAGTGACTGTTAGCGATAAAGAAATGTGTTTGAACAGTGACTGATGCTGCGACAGATAAGTAGCCATCGAAAACGGGAAAATTATTCACTGTGTAATTTTATTCCAGAATACGTATACCAACGCTGATAAGCTGCTGACCGCGGCTGAAGAGTTAGCGCATACAGGAGAGTGCGACCCAGACGAAATCTACAGCGTAGCCAGAGAACTGGAGGCGCACGTTGCAAGTTTCGCTGCCAGAGTCGAGCAGCGGAGGCGACGGCTTGACTTGGCAGTTCTTTTCTACACCAGAGAGAAGGAGTTGGCTAATTGGGCGGACGAACTTCGGCAGGAGTTGCAGCAAGAGGAGAGCGCTGCCGAAGGGTTGGAAACAGTCGAAAGGTCAGCCGACAGCAGGGCGATTGTTCAATTGATCAATTGAGAGCTTTTGTTGTAGATTGCTGGAGCAAACCGATCAACATCGAGTGCAGAGTTTGGAGGCGTGCGCCTCGACGATTGCCCAAGGCGAAGCCCTTCTGCAAGAGTTGAGGTAAATATTGCCTATGTGCGAATAATTTAGAGGCCTCAGCCAGTAATGGCAAAAAGCCATTTTGCGCCCGAATTGCGAGTGCTTTGAAAACGCTCTTAAGTAGTTTTCATTGTTTATTTAGCTGCCTTAACAGCGTTGAAAAGACAATGCAAACTGAATGTATGATGATTGATTGGCGTCATACGGCCAATTTTAAAAGGTAGAACCAAATCTGTTGATGCCCATAATCTTGTAGTTACGTCAAAGGTTGTTAACATCGTTTTTTTGTTAGATTAATTTATATTCGATTCGTTTTTACGTCACGCTAGAAGGAAAGCTTTCATGCCTTACCTTGTTCACTGATTTTTAATATGATAGCTTTGAGGTGCTGGTTGCGCTTCTTTGTATCAGCCAGCGGCTTCGGGTTAAGGTTCTTGGGCGCTTGACAAAAAGTTCGACTTTGAATCGAAAAATCGCAGCCCACGCCGTTTAATTCTGCCAGTTTGGTTGCTCCGCTCGACCGTACCATCTAAGAGAATTTGCTTTCGATTTTCATCAGGCGCCTTATCGACGAATTTATGTTCCTTTGTTGGGTTTTTGCAGTTGTAAATGCCTGTCAGGCCTCACGGATTGTTGGGCGTTTTCCACCGATTCAGCCCCTAAACTGGCCATTAAATGGACTTGCAGTTAGGCGCCTGGTTAATTTCGCTTGCCTGGTACCGCTCGCTCGCAAGACAAGTTTTACAGCCTCAGGGCTCGCCGTGGTACCCATGAGTCACCCTGTTTTATTTTATTTCACTGCTCAGATATGTCGGTTACGTTCTGGGCTCTCCCTCTGCCCTCGGTCTGTTAAGACAAAAAAAACCGTTTTTTCATTGCGTTTTCCTTTTAAAGTCGCAGCTTTAATAAGGTCAATGCCACGGCCCAAGACGTACAATCAAGCGAATAATTGCCGCACATTTTGCCAATTGGAGGAAATGGTAGGCGCGCAGCCAATATCATCTTCATTGTTATTATTTAATTTGGGTTCACTGCTAACGGGAAATTGATGGATTTTATGGGGAAATGCGCACGGGGGTGATTGATAACGAAATTCAGCACGCATTAATGGTTGTTTTAGAGCAATTGGCGAGATGGACTCAACCGGATCAGTGAGCGCCGTGGAATCCGCCTTAGATCGCCTGGCTAAGCAACGCAACGACTTGGAGGAATTATGGGCGGCCAGGAAGCTGCGTCTGGATCTCTGCCTAAGACTGAGACTGTTTGAGCGCGACGCACTTGAAGTGTCCTCACAGTTGGAGATGTGGAGCGAAGAGCTGCAGCACAGCGAACTCACCATGGACATTGCCAAAGCGGAACAGTTCCTTCGGTACGTCGAAAAACACTATTTTAGGGGCCGTACAGGCCCAGCCAGAACGTCGATGCTTGTTGGCGATGAAACCCCATCGATGTTCTCGACATTCTAAAGGACGATTTCAATATCAAGCGTTAAAAAAGCTTGTTTTTTCATGCAACTTCAAATCTGCATCCTAATAATCTTTGGGTGTTCAGGTTGCACAACGAGAGCGTATCCCAGATGCAAAACACCACCTACCAGGTACTGCAGCAAGGCCAGGAGTTGGTGCAGGTGTTTGAAAACTCCGGCATCTGCGTGATGGCTGATGCACAGTGCAACGCGCAGACCCGAGTGCAAGTCCTGCTGGAGTTCCTGCACGACCGCGAAGTCGACCTGGAAGATCTGGCCGAGGTTTGTGAGCTGACCAGTCTTAGGGAGTAGCGGCCTCATGAAGGTGTTCTAGGTGAAGCGAGTGAAGCTAGAACAGTGCATCCAGTTAGGCCAATTCCAGAACGATGCCAACCAGGTGATCAGTTGGATCCGCAACGGGGAGTCGATGCTTATGGCTAGTTTTACCATTCCCAACAGTCTAGCCGACGCCGAGTTGCTGAAGAAAGAGCATGAGCAGTTTCAGGTATTTACTACCACTTTATCCCCCCTATTAGTCCTAATGTGATTTTACCTGTTCAATAGGTTGCCATCGAAAAAACACACACTTCCGCTGTCCAGGTCAAATACAGAGCAGACTCTCTAATCAATGGCAACCACTACGATCCGCAGAGCATCCGGGATATCTCAGAGGAAGTAACCAAGAGGTGGCAACAGTTGGTAACCTGCGCTGAAGAGCGGCACAAACTGGTCACAGCCAGCCTGAACTTCTACAAAACGGCCGAGCAGGTTTGCTCAGTGCTGGACAGCCTGGAGAGAGAATATAGGTGAGCTCTAAAAAAAACGAAACCGTTACCCAATTAATCAATCGCTCTTCTGTGCAGACGAGATGAAGACTGGTGCGCCACTGGGCAGCCCAACGTAGACAAAGCCACTGCCATTTCGCAGCTGATCAACAAACACCAGGAGCAAAAGGAGGCGTTCCTCAAAGCCTGCACTTTGGCTCGGCGAACGGCCGAAACATTCCTGAAATACACCACTCGCAGTTTGCAGTTTTACAACTTCACGAACACTGGAACGAATCATGAGTCGCGAGTGAAAGGGATTTTGGAAAAGTTACTCAGCCAGGAGAACAAGGTAAGCTGCAGATGCAGTAGCTGTTCAGTTTCTAACGACGCGCTTAGGTCTTGGAACACTGGACCCAGAGGAAGAAGCGCTTGGATCAGTGTCAGCAGTTCGTCTTGTTCGAGCGCTCAGCCAAGCAAGCCATCGAGTGGATTCACGACACTGGAGAGTGCTACTTGACCACTCATGCCACCAACCTAGGTAGATTTTCCAGATTTTAGCCCTCTATTACGTATTAAAGTGGTTTTCCATCAAGGAAATAACATTGAAGAAACGGAGAGTCTTCTACGCGAGCACAACGAATTCAAGGGCACTGCCAAAGAAACCAGGGAGCGCGTGAAGCTGCTGATCCAGCTAGCGGACAGTTTGGTCGAAAAGGGACACGCTCATGCCACTGCCATCAAGCAATGGGTGGCGGCAGTAGACAATCGCTACAAAGACTTTAGCTCCAGAATGGAACAGTATAGACAGCAACTGGAGGAAACACTTGGTAAGTTAAGCAGCGTAGCCCTAATTCATGCTTTTGTTGAATATTTGCTCTTGTTTTGCAGGAATTCAAGAAGAAGAATCGGAGAAAAAGGAGCTTTCCATTGACCGGAATTCGGACCCAAGTCTCGAGAGCAAAATCAAAGACGGCACAGCCAAAGACCTTAAAGAGCTGAATGAAGAAAAGCGCCGTTCGGCTCGCAGAAAAGAGTTTATCATGGCCGAGCTGCTGCAGACCGAGCGAACTTACGTTAAGGACTTGGAGACTTGTATCAAGTGCTTCCTTTACGAAACTCGGAACGCCAATGGGGTGCCTGTGGCCCTTCAGGTTGGCTCTTGCAAAAAATCCTACTTCTTCCTCAACTAAGTTGCGTTCCATTCGTTACAGGGCAAGGAGAATACCATCTTCGGCAACATGGAGGAGATCTACAATTTCCACAACTCCATATTCCTACGCGAGTTGGAAAAGTACGAGACGATGCCAGAGGATGTTGGCCATTGCTTTGTGACTTGGGCGATAAAGTTCGACATGTACGTGTACTATTGCAAGAACAAACCGGAGAGCAACTCGCTGCTGGTGCAACATAGCGGCAACTATTACGAGGAGTTGCAAAAGAAGCATAAAGTTGAGCACCCCATAGCGGCCTATCTGATCAAGCCAGTGCAGCGCATTACCAAATACCAACTGCTGCTCAAAGATCTGCAAAGCTGCTGCAACGAAGGGCAGGGCGAGATCAAAGACGGTCTGGAAGTGATGCTCAATGTGCCCAAGAAGGCCAACGACGCGATGCATCTGTCGTTGCTTGAAGGCTGCGACATTTCCAGCGATAAATTGGGCGAAGTCGTGCTGCAGGATGCGTTTCAAGTGTGGGACCCCAAGCAGCTGATCCGCAAGGGCCGAGACCGGCACATTTTCCTCTTCGAACTCTACCTGCTGTTTACCAAAGAGGTTAAGGACTCGGCCGGGAAAGTCAAGTACATCTACAAGAACAAGCTGATGGTGAGTGCGACCTACTCGCCATCGGTTGGTTAGTAAAGTGCTCAATGTGTTGTAGACCTCAGAATTGGGGGTGACGGAACACATGGAGGGTGATGAGTGCAAGTTTGCCGTCTGGACCGGAAGGGCCCCGATTTCGGACTACCGCATCGTCCTCAGGGCGTCCAGCCTAGAAACCAAGCAACTTTGGGTGAAGAAACTGCGCGAAGTCATCCAAGAGACGTACTTTAGCGGGGCGTTGCCGTTGACGCTGCCCAAGAGTCCTGCCAAGCTGAAGACCCACAGCCAGAGGTCCAGCAGGTGAGAGGAATTAGCACGGATTTTTCCTAAGTGCTTGCCCTAAAAGTCGTGTTTTTTTCAGGGACTTGGAGGAATGCAACTCCCTGGACGAGAGCGTGGAGAATCTGGACCGCAACTCGTTGGCTTCTTTCGGATCTGGCAATACAACCGACTCAGATAAGGTAGGATTTGCAGTTTTATATTGTAACGCGTGTTTTCCGCGTTTTATTGTTATCGGTTGTGAAGTTGACGGTAATTTTGAAGTTAGTTTGTTCGTGTTCCGTATTTAAAGTTATACCGAGGTGAATAAAAGTTGGAAGCAGAAGAAAGAGTTTGATACTCGGCCATCCACGGTACAATATGTATATGTATATTTTCAAGTTTGCGAAGAAACGCAGGAAATTTCTATCTAATCGAGTGCACACTAAATATCTTATTAAGACGTTCGTTAACATTCCAGCGGCGTGTGCTAAATACCAGTGTCATGGTCGGTCTTGATCATTCACTAATTTTCACCGTAAACTCTCGATTGACTGAATTGGCCGACACAAATCATTTTCTTGATAACTCGGTATTTAGAGCGTTTTTCTACGATTTGAACTCGGGTGGATTTGACCCAGATCCAGGTCCTGAGCCGAAGAGATAATTGTGGTGTTTTGCGCGAAAACTCCTGAGGTCGCGTCCCGGTGACCTTTTGCACTCACCACCCAAAGGCGGAGGTATTTGCGGAAGGTTTTGGGCGCAAATAGGCGCAAATCCTGCCGCTATTGAGGCAGGGAGATGATGGCATTCTGAGGGCGTCGATATCAATGGGAATTGTTTGCGTTATTTGAGCGGCGCAATTTCGGTGCCACTTTTAATTGCGAAAAACGAAAATATCCATCAATCTGTCGTGTGGCGTTTCCAGCTGGAGGAGCTGAACGCTTTCGGGGCACGCAAATGTGCCGGAAAAAGTGTTTCCTTTGAAGTGGCCGCCAATATCTACAAGGGAATCGATCGGTGTGTGTGTGTGTTTTGGGCAATGTGTGGGTTTTTTTCACGTTTAGTAGGAAAACGCTGCCTGCAGGGCGAGTAAATGTCCACGAAAACACGGTTTTCATTGATGGCACGAATTATTAATTTTCCATTGATTTTTCCTCGAGCTCCGAGTTTTAGAGTCGAAATTTTCCTGCAAGGCCAGGTTTCCTTATTCAATTAAAACCGGCTCGTATCGTGGAAGGAAACCGAATTAAGGCCGGAATTGGCGTATTTCTTGTCTTGTTCTTGCGATACTTCTGCACAGGACTCGCTCCTGCGTGTGGCTTTCCAGGCCAGCGTTGCCAAGGCCTCCAAGTATGAACTGGATTTTTTGCTAATCGGCTTTAGTTGTGGCGATTCACTTCGCAGACTTTTCGGTTTACACTCCTTTTGCCCCATCCAGGCAGTCCCTGCGGGCCTGGAAGGGGGGTTTCTTGCAGTGGTTCTTTCCTGGAAGCGACAGTCGGGCAACATCGTGTTCCAGTCGGTCCCGGGGCCTCCTCTTGCTGCCAGCCAGTCTCGTTGGCCGGATCATTCGGCTTGGTGCTCAAGCGACGCTTCTTCTCGTCGTGAATCGGGATGACCGGTCGTCCCGACGCCTCCTTCGACTCGCAGTCTCAACGTTGTGCGTTCATGGGCGCTCACAGTCCCGGCTTCTCCTCCTCGCTCTAGTTTTGGGGAAGGGTCTCACTGGTTCCTCCAGGTTTGACTTTTATTAGATCAAGCTCCATCTTGAACAGCGAAATGGCGAAAATTTGGCAGGATTGAATGGAGTCTTGCTGTTAAACGCCGCACACTTTTTCGCCCAATTCCGATTAGGAATCTTAAATTTTTCGGATTTTTCGGATCTAGCTTTCAATGATATGAGGCTCCTCCCCAACTGCCATCACTGACTGTTTCAGGTGTTCAATGATCATCTGATTTTTGGCTAAACCGCACCGACTACCCGGTCTTTCATTAATCCTAAGGGTGCCAGTGTAATAACCGCTCTGTGATCATCAAGCTTTTAATATTTGCCCAGTCCATACCGTCTAAGTGTTAAGTAGTGTTTAGAAGAAAACGAATTATCGGTAATCGGTGGTCGACCGCGAAACAGGAAGTGATCGAAACCGAAGCGGTGTCGAAAGCCTGAACGATGTCGGCGAACACGACAGGGCCGGCCAAAGCCCCGAAATCCAAGCGCAAAATCTCGTTGCCGTGGTTCCGGCAAACCAGCGCGGCCAATCAGCACCCAGGCTTGAGCAGGCAGCACACCATTGACACGCCGTTCAGCTTTCAGGCGCGTTTATTGAGACGCCAAACCAGCCAAAGTGTCATGGTCAGTAAACAACTGTGTTCCATCCTTTCCCTCCTAGTCAAGGCTGGCGCACGCCAGTCCCTTGAGAATCCACCCGGGACCGGCTTAGGGTTATA